TATATATATATATTTTTTGTTTCAATGATGAAAATGTTTTTCTTAAATAATCTTTACTTTTTTTTTTTTTTTGAGACAGAGTCTCACTGTGTCACCCTCGGTTGAGTGCTGTGGTGTCATCGAAGACAACAACCTCAAAGTCTTGGGCTTAAATGATTCTCTTGCCTCAACCTCCCAAGTACCTGGGACTATAGGCACCCGCCACAATGCCTAGCTATTTTTTTTAATGTTTCTTTTTTTTTTTTTGCACTTTTTTTAGCTAGGGCCTGGTTTGAACCCGCCACCTCCAGTATATAGTGCTGGCACCCTACTCCTTTGAGCCACAGGCACAGCCCTGCCTGGCTATTTTGTTGTTGTTGTCGTTGTTGTTGTTGTTGTTGTTGCAGTTGTCATTGTTGTTTAGCTGGCCTGGGCTGGGTTTGAACCTGCCAGCCCCGGAGCTTGTGGCTGGCACCCTAACCACTGAACTATGGGCCCTGAGCCAATCTTCTAGACCATAGATTTCTTAGCTATGATTTGAAAATACTGGCTTACATTTAATGTAAATGCATGTACTAGAATGTTCTGTATTCTTTGGAACACATGAGAAGTGAAACCTAACTTTACAAAGTCATTTAAATGCTTAAAATTTTTTCTGACTGTAGAAAGATTAAGTTGAAAAGCAATTGAGTAATTTTATTTATTTTATTTTATTTTATTTTATTTTTTTTGAGACAGAGTCTCACTTTGTTGCCTCTAGTAGAGTGCCTTGGGGTCATAGCCCACAGCAACCTCAAATTCTTGGGCTCAAGCAGTTCTTTTGCCTCAGCGTCCCAAGTAGCTGGCACTACAGATGCCCACCATAATGCCCAGCTCTTTTTAGAGATGGTGGGGTGGGGTAATTGCTCTGGCTTAGGCTGGTCTTGAACCTGTGAACTCAGGCAATCCACCTGCCTTGGCCTTCCCAGTGCTGAGATGACAGGTGTGAACCACCAAGCCTGGCCATTGATTGAGGATTTTAGACTTTCTGACTCTGTCGAAGATTCTGCAAATAATTACTGATCTTTTACAGAGAATGGGAAAGTATTCTATTGTATGTTTTATGAATCAAATGTTCCAGGTTTGATGGGAGAAAAATGTATAAGAAAACTTCCCATTTTATTTTATTTTATTTTTTAAACTTCTCATTTTAGGACCTAGTAATCTATTTCAAGCAAACTTTGTGGTATGCGGGTTTTTTTTCATTGTATATGTCATATTACATTAACTGTACTTAGAGACATAGTTGCTAATCTCTTATTTATGATTTTTTTTTTATAAAACTGATCTTAATGAAGCCTGTGGTTTGTGACCACAGCCTGTTAGGTGCCTCTTGACAAAATCATTGTTATGACAGCAACTGAGACTCACCCCCAAAGAATTTGACAAATTATCTGAAGAAATTGCATCATCTTTAACTAATGTGCTGGTTCTACTCATGCCATGTGGGTTGTACTGCTGCTCTGAATGGTGTGGTATGAGAGGAAGGACAGGTTTATATAGTGACTACTTACAGATTCCACGTACACCAGCAAGAGTACTGAGAAGTGAAGTGTGCCAAATCTAGAACTGGTACCGTGGTTAGCACTGGCAAACTAGTTGCTAACATGTGCCATGCTCTTATACTCTCTCAGAACTTTGCTGAACAATTTTGTGGGTTATCTGAATCCTCACAACAGTCCTAAGTTATTTCCATTTTTCTGGTGAGGAAACTGAGATTTAGAAAGTAAATAAAAAAATTGAGCAATTAATAGACAAAGTTGACATCTGAATTTGTTCAACTTTAGCATCCGTGTTCTTTATTAGCATATTTCTTCTTTTGCTTACTTCAGAGACATTACATTAAACCTCAGCCACAGGATAGATTTCCTTTTCCTTTTCCTTGGTTTACACAGGGAAGGAGTCTTTTCTGTGTAGGCCCTGCCTTTCATTTATTCAGCAAATGTTTGTTGAGTGCCTACTCTGTACTCTGCTGACGTTGCAGGTGGCACTGATGAACACAGAAGGGTGCCTGCTCCTCCTCCACCTCCAGCCTTCCTCCATACATCTGTCATAACACCAGGGCATTTTGAAATATCCCAGAGCTGCCTGCCCTCTCTTACCCTTCTCATGCCCTTTCTGCCAAGACTACCTTGAAAGCATTGCTCCTTTCATTCCTATAATCAGTCTTTCTCTCTCTTTTTTTTTTTTTTTTGAGGCGGAGTCTCAAGCTGTAGGGTAGAATGCGGTGGTGTCATAGCTCACAGCAACATCCAACTCTTGGGCTCAAGTGATCCTCCTGCCTCAATTTTTTTCTTTTTTTCCGTAGAGACAGGGTCTCAGTTTTGCTCAGGCTGGTCTCAAAGTTGTAAGCTCAAGCTATCCACCTGCCTCAGCCTGCCAGAGTGCTAGGATTATAGGTGTGAGTCACCGCACCCAGCTACCTATAACTAGTTTCACAAAAATCCCCCCCACCCCTGAAAAGTGGTATAAAAATTTGGAACTTTTAACATTTTTCATCTTCAACAAAGGATTAAAGAAGGCTAGGGAAAAATGCACTGCATTTCAAACTTAGACAAAGTTATATTCTGAGAAAGATTATAAACAAATACCTTTAATATTTAAAGTTTAAAAAATAAAGTTAGTGTTGATTTTACAAAATTAGGAAGAAAAACACAAACAACTAGAAAGAAATAAGAAAAAGGAAACAGTAAAAATTAAAAATGAAATGAAAGGCTCGGCACCTGTGGCTCAAGTGGCTAAGGCACCAGCCACATACACCTAAGGTGGCAGGTTCGAATCCCGCCAAAACAACAATGACGGCTGCAACCAAAAAATAGCCAGGCGCTGTGGCGAGCGCCTGTGGTCCCAGCTACTTGGGAGGCTGAGGCTGGAGACTCGCTTGAGCCCAGAGTTGGAGGTAGCTGTGAGCTGTGATGCTACGGCACTCTACCCAGGGGAATAGCTTGAGGCTCTGTCTCAAAAAAAAACAACATGAAATAAAATAGGGAACACCAAAAACAAGCACAAGGGAAAAACCCTAAAAGCTGGTTCCATGTAAAGACCAATAAAATAGATAAATTACCTTCCAAAGGTAATCTAAATTGAACTTAATTCCGTTAGTTTTTTTTTAAGAATTAGCCAAAATGATTTTTTAATTTACGAAATAAATAAACCTGTATAACCTAAATTTCTATCAGTACGGCTAGAATTCATCCTTATAGTGAAATGGCAATTGTAAAAACAGAAATGATGTTTTCTATGATCTGATATGGAAAAAGGCAGGGCACAGAACAGTGCATGTAGTACACTGTCTTTTTTGTAAAAATTAAAAAAGAGAATAAAAATACAAATATTAAAGCTTGCTTTTATATGCATAAAGAAATACTGGGAAGAATAGTACTCTAAAACCAAGAATAGTAGTTACCTGTGGTAGTGGGATTGGGGCAGATAGGGGATAGGGTTTTTAGTAAGGGATATTCTTCATGCTGTGCATATTTTTGTTCAAATTTTCTTGAAATGTGAGAATATATTGTCTATTTGAGAATTGAAATTTGGTGTGTATAAAGAGTTTTTTTTTTTTTTTTTTTTGAGACAGCATCTCAAGCTGTCACCCTTGGGTAGAGTGCTGTGGTGTTACAGCTCACAACAACCTTAAACTCTTGGGCTAAAGTGATTCTCTTGGCTCAGCCTCCCAAGTAGCTGGGACTACAAGCACCCGTCACAATGCCAGGCTATTTTTTGTTGTTGTTGTTGCAGTTGTCATTCTTGTTTTAGGTGGCCTGGGCTGGGTTCGAACCCACCAGTCTCCACGTATGTGGTCCGTGCCCTATCCACTGAACTATGGGTGCTGCCCTAAAGAGTTTTTTTAAGTAAGTAAGAAAAGTCAAATATCCCCAAAGAAAAATGGGTAATATATCTTGTGGTACATCCATGCTATGGAACTTAACAGCCACCATTACGTGTAAGGGAGAATGACCAAAAGGTCAGCAGTGACTGCCTCTGAGTGTGAAGAGTACAGGTATTATATTCTTATTCTTTTCCTTACTCCTACCTTCTTCCTTCTCCTTTCTTCCTCCTTCCTCCTCCTTCCTTTTTCCTTCTTTTTTTGTTTGTGATGGTTTTAATTTCCTGCAGTGATCGCTTTTATAATTCTGGGGAATTTTAAGAAATAAGATGAAAGCTTAGAAAAAAATATTCTAAGAAGTACAGTAACAAGGGACACTGGTACTGGCAAATATGAGGCAGACTGAGAAGTAGCAGTCATGAATGTGCTATGGCAGTAGCAGAGATACTGAACTTCTGAACCTGTGGAAAGACTCAGACACGTGTGTATTCTCACGTACTGTGTACTTATGAGAGAATGTAAATGATAAATGCTGATGGAATAATTTGAAAGCTACTTAAGTTTGCATATTATACCAAACAGTGGCTGTGATAAAAAGTTAAACATTAAAAAATACACACCTTTGGGCTCGATGCCTGTAGCACAGTGGTTACAGAGCCAGCCACATATACCAAGGCTGGCAGGTTTGAACCTAGCCCAGGCCAGCCAAACAACGATGACAACTGCAACAAAAAAATAGCTGGGTGTTGTGGCGGACACCTGTAGCCCCAGCGACTTGGGAGGCTGAGGCAACAGAATTGGTTGAGCCCAAGAGTTTGAGGTACATGCCACGGCACTCTACTCAGGGCGACTGAGACTCTGTCTTTAAAAAAAATAAAAGAAAGAAACTCTAGAAAAACTGGGTGGCGCCTGTGGCTCAAAGGAATAGGGAACCAGCCCCATATGCTGGAGGTGGCCAGTTCAAACCCAGCCCTGGCCAAAAACTGCAAAAGAAAAAAAAAAACAAAACTCTAGAAAAACCGAGGAGAAAGTAAAGGAAAAATCTGCTGGTAGTGCTGGTAGAAATGATGGAATGGAACCAATTATTAATTGGAACCACAAAGGATGAAGCTATAAAATTATATTCATCTCTTTGTTTTAATCTTCTCTTCTCTAGGTTGGTGGCACTAAAGCTGGCGTAGTCCGGTTTCTTGGGGAGACAGACTTTGCTAAGGGAGAATGGTGTGGTGTGGAGTTGGATGAACCTCTTGGGAAGAATGATGGCGCCGTTGCTGGAACAAGGTTTGTTTAAAAATTGTATAACATCTTATCTCTCTCTCTCTTTTTTTTTTTTAAGATTTATTTGAATGGTTTTTCTTTTCTTTTTTTTTTTTTTTTTTGGCCAGGGCTGGGTTTGAACCCGCCACCTCTGGCATATGGGGCCAGTGCCCTACTCTTTTGAGCCATGGGCGCTGCCCTACCAACATCTTGTCTCACTCTTGCATGTGAAGATGCTCAAGTATGTATAATAAGATGGAAATGAGTGTTTTAAAGAGCTATACTTTTTTTTTTTTTTTTTATTTAAAGAGACAGTTTCACTCTGTTGCCCAGGCTAGAGTACAGTGGCCTCATTATAGCTCTCTGCAGCCTCAAACTCTTGTACAAACTCTTGAAGTGATCCTCTTGCCTTAGCCTCCCAAGTAGCTGGGACTACAGGTGTATACCACCACACCTGGCTAATGCTTTTATTTTTGTAGAGATGGGATCTTACTATGTTGTCCAGTCCTGGGCTCAAGGGATCTTCCCACCTTGGTCTCCCAGAGTGCTGGGTTTACAAGCATGAGTGACTGTGCCTAACTAGAGCTATACTGTTTATTTCCTAAGACCCATTCTACCCATTTTTCCTCACTAAAATTTTTTTTGACCATTTCTTTAGTGACATCTGGTATCAGTTTATTTTTCAAAAAGAAATATTATGTTATCCTGGCTTCTTTCCCTTTTAGTAGTAGTGAACCTCTGAAAGAGTACCTGGACATGTAGGGGTCGGGGTAGGGCATCCAGGGGTGGGACATAGGTAGAATATAGCTCCCTTTTTAGGAAAAGAACTTTAAGATGTGTTTTCATATCTGATAAGAATTCCATCCTGTCATAAGAGAACAGACCTCTTCTGTTTTAAGTATAAAACACCAGACACAGGATAGGAGTCAAATAATTTAAATGAATGCAAGAGTAATTTTCCACACTTTTCAAAATGTTTTGAAGGCTTTTGGGACGGTTGTAGTATATGATGCATTTGTAGTAGTATGCAGTATATTAACGTATCAATTGATTAATAAATGTTGTAGCTAACATTGTGTTTTTGAAGTATATACAAATTGATTATAAGCATATGGGCTTTACCAACAAATGCAATGATAGTGACTTATGGAGATAAAAACCTCTTGGGGGCTCGGTGTCTGTAGCTCAGTGGTTATGGTGCCAGCTACATATACTGAGGCAGGTGGGTTCGAACCCATCCTGGGCCTGCTAAACAACAATGACAACTGCAACCAAAAAATAGCTGGGTATTGTGGCGGGTGCCTATAGTCCCAGTTTCTTGGGAAGCTTAGGCAAGAGAATCACATAAACCCAAGTTTGTGGTTGCTATGGGCTGTGATGCCACAGTGCTCTACTGAGGGTGACATAGTGAGACTCTGTCTCAAAAAAAAAAAAAAAACCAAAAAACCTCTTGGTGCAATAGTGATTATGAAGCCATCCCTTCATAATATTAAAACTTTATAATTTTTTTTTCTTTGAGACAAGGTGTCACTTTGTTGACCTTGGTAGAGTACTGTGGTGTCATAGCTCATAGCAACCTCAAACTCTTGGGCTCAAGCGATTCTCTTGTCTCGGCCTCCTAAGTAGCTGGGACTACAGGTGCCTGCCACAATGTCCTGCTGTTTTTGGAGGTGAGGTCTTGCTCTGGGCTCAGGGTGATCTCAAATGTATGAGCTCAGGTCATCCACCTGCCTTGGCCTCCCAGAGTGCTGGGATTACAGGCATGAGCCACCGCACCTGGCCTAAAACTTTATAATTCTTAAGAGTCAGAAGATTGCCAGTGTGAGTCTCATAACTGGCATCACTAACTTATTATTTCTCCATGTCACTTTAGTGTATCTGTCAGAGTTAGGTGTTTGTCTGATTTCTTTTTCCCTTTGTTTGGCATGGTTTTATTATGTGGGATGAGCATATTGCTGAAGTTCTCGGCTGTACATTTATCAAATGGTAGAAATATTTATTCCCTTTGCATAGAACCTCAGCAACAAATGAATAATCTGAATCTGCATAGTATATTGTTATTAGTGTGTTTTATAAAATATCAGCTTGGTGCCTGTAGCTCAAGTGGCTAAGGTGCCAGCCACATGCACCTGAGCTGGCGGGTTCGAATCCAGCCTGGGCCTGCCAAACAACTGGCTACAACCAAAAAATAGCTGGGCGTTGTGGTGGGCGTCTGTAGTCCCAGCTACGTGGGGGGCAGAGGCAGGAGAATCGCTTGAGCCCAGGAGATTAGAGATTGCTGTGAGCTGTGACACCACAGTACTCTACCCAGGGCGACAGCTTGAGGCTCTGTCTCAAATAAAATATATATATATATATCATTAAGGGTATTTATCAGCATCTATACATGTGAATGGTGCATGCTGGTTTATAGCCCCCAGCTCAATGGTAGAGTCCCATCCTGGCAAACCAGTCACAAATTGGAAGAGCTTTTGATTATGTTTGTTATTTCTTATATAATTGTTTTTTGTTATGCTCTTATTGTTCTTTCTGTAAAGGTATTTTCAGTGTCAACCCAAATATGGCCTGTTTGCTCCTGTTCACAAAGTGACCAAGATCGGCTTCCCTTCCACTACGCCAGCAAAAGCCAAGGCTGCCGCAGTGAGACGAGTAATGGCCACCACGCCTGCCAGCCTGAAGCGAAGCCCTTCTGCCTCTTCCCTTAGCTCCATGAGCTCAGTGGCCTCTTCCGTGAGCAGCAAGCCCAGTCGGACAGGACTAGTAAGTACCCTTTTCTCATTCTCTGCTTCTGTTTCCCAGGCATGATAAATGCCCACTATCAGCGTGCTGCTTTGCTTGTCCTTGTGCTAAATGTTGGTCAGAGCTTGCTGTGATAGCCCGTGCAAGTAAGTTTTGGAAAAATATAACTCCAGTGAGAATATCATTTTTGAAATAGGAAAAGGTTTTTAATCGCCCATTTCAGAGTCTTAAAGGCTTAAGGTAAAAGCTTAAAGCCTTTTAAATTTGTACCATTTCTTGGTGAATCTATAGTAACTACTGCTTATTCTACCATGGGATGAATTCTTGTCTCTGAAATTATTTTGGGCCAAAAATGACAGGAAAATTGGAAGTATCCTTTTTCTCAAGTATGTAGATCTTTCTCTGACTTCAGTTTTTAGAACTAAAGTATTATGAGAAAAGGTGTGTTCTTAGAATGTCAATATTGTATTAACATAGTCTAGCCTACTGAAAGCAGTTAATGTGAGAAGTGTTCCTGGTTTGGGGCAGAAGATACAGAATGGAACTTCTTTTAGTTTTAATTTGTTAAACACAATTTTTTTAGGCTGGGCCTTGTGGCACATGTCTGTAGTCCCAGCTACTTGGGAGGCTGAGGCAAGAGGATCGCTTGAGCCCAAGAGTTTGAGGTTGCTGTGAGCTACGATGCCATGGCACTCTACCCAGGGTGGCAGAGTGAGACTCTGTCTCAGAAAAAAAAAAATTTAAATGGACAAATAATAATTATACATATTCATGGGGTTACATCATGATGTTTCAGTACATACAATATGTAGTGATCAGTTCAGAGTAACTAGCATATCCATCATGTCAAACATTTATCATTTCTTTGTGGTGGGAAGAAGGGAACTTCTGGAACTTGAGAAGGATAGTAGGAAAAACTGTGTTTTGTGTTATTTCCTGTCTTCTTTTCTGCTCCTTCTCCAGTTCCTCTCCTGCTCTTCCTCTTTTTCCCCCTTTAAAGCAGTAAAAATAGAATAGTCAGAATTAAAATAAAATAGATGACAATTCGTTCTGTTTGTTAATGTGGTATTTCATTCGGGTCAGAAGCCCTGTCCTTGGTTTATTCACTTACAGTGAGGCAAGTACTGTTTGAATTAGAAACAGCAGTCTGAGATTCGATTCCAAACTGAACAAAGATCTCTGTTTTGTGATGGTGAACTGAAGACAGGAGTTAGAACCTTCAGTGGTGTTATCGGAGAGTAGGGTCGTGGGCCCTTGGTCTTGTTTGCCTGCTCTTCCATTGTCAGGCAGAGAAAGGAAAGGCAGGGTGGTAGAGTCTTTGAGTGGGGGTTGTGATCTTCTGACAGCCAGATGGAATTTCTACCTGTTATGTTCAGGTAAAATAAATTAGATTTTTTTCAGTTTGCATATGAAAATAAAGTCTGCATCTTCAACAGAAATTACTATTATGAGAAAAGCCTGACACGAACAATGAAATGGAGGTGAAGAAATCCAAACTCCTTTGTTTGGACAAAGCCTTGTTGAGAGTGGGCCTGCAAGCTTTATTATAGAATTCTGTTGCTTTGGAATTCTAGGAACAGTTCCAGAAAGTGCCTAGTTCATTCTTTCTTGAGTAATTTTTGTTACCTTGTAACTAATTATAAGTGTCCATTTCTTTGGGAAATACCATGCTTTCCCGGCTCTCACCAAGCTCTCCTCTTGGTTTCCAGACCAGCTTTGATTCCTTTTAGCTCTCCTTATTAAATCAAGGTAATTCACAAAAGACAGATGAGTCTACTTGCCTTTTCAGATTGCTTATTTTTATGTGTCTTTATTGTGGGTAAGTATAGTTTTTAAACCAAAAGTCATTGTAAAAGAATACACCAAGGATATAGAAGAAATAGGAGAATCAAAAGTGTGATTTTAATTGTATTGGTCAGAGATGTATTTCTGTCCCAGAGAAACATAAATTGAAAGAAAAAATTTTTTTAATTCATTCGTTAGTAATCACAATGACTTAGGGTTATGGCATATGCACTGCATATCTCACCAAACCTTGGAATCATATTTATCACTGCCTGCTTTATTTCCTGTGCCACATTGATTTTTGCATAGTACTTTTTGTCATGGCAATAGCCAAAACCCAGCTTTGCAAAGATGGATGTTACTGAAAGGAACATAGTCAATCTAACATTGGAAACGAATTGTCTCAAACCAGTAGCTTGCCTGGTGTCCAACAGATGTTGCTGTACTACCCTTGCAACTTAAAACATCCCACAGTGCCCCTGAGAGTTTGATGCACCACCCTGGGAAATCTCTGCACATGGTTTGGGAACCTCGCATTTAATGTGTTCAGGAAGAAATGTTAGTAAGAGAAAGCATAATTTAACCATATAATGAAATTGGTTAAAAGAGCAGAAAGGAGTTTCCCCAAGTATGTTTAAGTAATTAAAGAAATTTCACTAAAATAAATGGACAAGTTGCATTTGATTCTTTTACTCCCGTAGTTATCAAATTGCCAAATCCTTAACTGATGAAAGATCCTCACTGTAAGGAGGGCTCAGAGAAACTGATTAAGAGGAGAGCCTTCAAGTAATGAATGAAGCTTTGACTGTAGAAGATGAAGTAAAGACTGAATTGATCTGGAACCAGCAATGGCCAAGTAAACAGCCTTGAATGAACACTTGCCAAGGGATGAGGCTATTTCTTACCTACCTCCCAGCTTCTGGAGTCTAGCTTGGAAGAACATTGTTAAACTTGCCCAATTACCTGTAAACAGTTAATAGAAGGTTGTTCTTCCCTGGATTTGTACATAGTTGTTAGCTTCAAGGTAGCAGAGTTGAGTGTGCAGATCAGCAAAGATTAACAGATGAGAAACTGAACACATCGTTTCTTGAATACACTGACTCCATCCCTGCCTTCCTCCCTCCTTTGTTTTTTTCTCTTCTCCTTCTTCTCTATTTTTTTCTCCTTCCTTTCACCTTCTTCCTTTCTTCTTTATACACAAATTTGTCTTTCCCTTCTGTTTTTCTCCTCATCTCCTTTTTCTTCCTTTCTCTCATATGTGTCTGTACATGTGCACACTCATACCACACATTTGAAAGCAAATAGGTTGGGGTTCAGAGCCTGAAGGCTGGATTCCTGGGTGAGAACTTCATTGCCTTTCATTTTGAAAGAAAGATGGAGCAAATCCTTAGGAAGATCCAACTATTTAATCAATTGCAGGAAAGTTTGTGACTCTTAAAAGAGTGGATTCTTCATTACTTGATGATATTTAGAAGCTTAGGAAGCATTAAGAAGTCTCATTCTCAAGTCTAAGGATTAAGAGATTGGCCAGAACGTCACAAGATAACTATTAAGCTTGGTCTGAGAGTGTACAGAAACTTGTTAAATGGGTTCTGTGGAATTTTTCTAGATTTCTACCCAGCCCTGTCAGCTGAGCTCAGAGTACTTAGGGTTTGAGCCACTTATTCTCCTTCTAAACACCTTCCTGGTTGATCTAACCTGTTTACATTGATGTGTTCTTTGTGAGATTTACAGGTAGCAGGCATACTCTGTCTTGTTTTTTTGATGAAAAGCCTTTCCTAATCATTGCAAGCTTACGAGCTGGAGCAGCTCTTGCTTTGCTGAGAAGATGCCCACCATACATGCATCATTCCTTCCTTGCTTCCCTGACTGCATCATCGCCCTTCACTTCTTTAACTTTCCTTTGCAGTTGACTGAAACCTCCTCCCGTTACGCCAGGAAGATCTCCGGCACCACTGCCCTCCAGGAGGCCCTGAAGGAGAAGCAGCAGCACATTGAGCAGCTGCTGGCTGAACGGGATCTAGAGAGGGCGGAGGTGGCCAAGGCCACGAGCCACGTGGGGGAGATAGAGCAGGAACTAGCTCTGGCCCGGGACGGACACGACCAGGTGAAGTCTGGTGCTGACCTTGTTGTGGAGATGGTGATGGTTTCTAAATTGAGTGAGGAGGCCTAGGGGCATGCCCAGTGCTGGGTGCCAAGCAGCTAGTCTTGAGAGCACTTCTGAGCTTGTTTGAAAGCTGTGACCTGGGGTATCTGTTTCTATCATCATAGAAATGAAGTTTTGTTCTTCTTGATTCTACCTTAGTCTTCAGTCTTTATGTCCAGGTCATTTGGCCTGTGTTAGACCAGCTTGTTTACCAGGACCTTACCAGTGATTACAGCTCCTGTTTGTAGATTATTCTTTGTATGTGTTTCAGCTTCAAGAAAGATGAGAGTTGTTTTAACACTACCCTCTGTTGCTTTAATGGTGTGGTTTTTCATCATCTAGCTTCCAGGAAAGCTGCCGAGAGTAACCCGTTGAGATAGATAGCATTTTAATGTGACAAGGTTTTAGAGCAATGCCTACCCATTATGGTAACACTTACCTGTAGCTCTTTGGAGGTATTCCTGGGCCTGTATCCAGGTCAGAAAGAGACCACTCACGGACTTCCTTGCCTTCCCCAGCATGTCCTGGAATTGGAGGCCAAGATGGACCAGCTGCGAACAATGGTGGAAGCTGCTGACAGGGAGAAGGTGGAGCTTCTCAACCAATTGGAAGAGGAGAGAAGGTGACCCCAAATTTTCTTGGTGCAGTTGATGATCTTAGGGAAAAAGTTCCTGTTAACATTATTGTTGTCAACCCTTAGAACCAGAAGAATGACTGTGTGTTCAGTATAAATTGAACTCTTCATACTGTGTGAGAGAGATTGCTTTAATAGGACTTTTTTCAGCAAACTTGGAATCATTAAACGTGGCCTGATTGATTTAATAGAACATCCCAGACATCCTCTTGAGGATTGCTTTAGTTGTGGTATTGTAGAGGTAATCTCAACCTAGTTTTCACATGGAACCATTCCTAGGAGAAGGTATTCTAGGCCTGAGTTACTTAGTATTTATGAAGTTGTGTCTTGTCTGGTAGGTGATAGAATGCCCTGTCCTCGAGAAACTCAGTACAAAATTCTCAAATGTAAAAACAATTAGAGAATTACCAGTATGAGATCAAATGCTAAGTGATGTAAGAGAAGTCAAGTTTAGTTCTTACAAAAGGAAGTTTCTCAAGGCTGTGAATAAACAAAATCTCTGAAAAAAGCATCTGCCTGGAAACTATTCAGACATCCCTAGATTATTGGAAGTTTGTCTTCTATTAGCTTTAATGCCATCTTTTGTCATTTCTGATAACAGCAACTTAACCAGTAATAATCTAGTATTATGGTGTGCTCAGGACAGTCATAAGCAATGGTGTAGTAAGCCCGCACAGTGAGGGTACAATACTCTTTTGAGACAGAGTCTCACTCTGTTGCCATGGGTAGAGTGCTGTGGTGTCATAGCTCACAGCAACCTCTAATTCTTGGGCTTGAGTGATCCTCTTGCTTCAACCTCCTGAATAGCTGGGATTACAGGTGTCTGCTTCAATGCCTCGCTAGTTTTTCCTGTTTTTTTTTTTTTTTAAGTAGAAATGGTATCTCACTCTTGCTCAGGCTGGTGAATTCACAATGTGGTTGGTACCTGGATCTTATAGATGCTCAGAATATCATTATATTTCATTGGCTTTGTGATGGCTTTGATAGACACCTATGCCCAATATCAGAATTTAAAATGTGAGATAAGGCTCGGTGCCTGTAGCTCAAGTGGCTAAGGCGTCAGCCATATACACCTAAGGTGGCGGGTTTGAATCCAGCCCAGGCCCACCAAACAACGATGATGGCTGCAACCAAAAAATAAAATGTGAGATAAATGTGTATTTGGGAATCAAAGAAATAGAATCTTTGGTTGCTTCTCCCCCAAATTGTTCACAGCCCTGTGCTCCCTGTCTTGGAGCAAGTACTGGTATTGTCCCAAAGCCTCTAAGATTGGAGGTTTCTGCATAAGAAGCCTTCTAACTTCACCCTAAAATACCTAATGTGAGATGATATAAAAAGAGATTTTTTTCTTGTATTCTTTTTTTTTTTTGAGACATATTCTCGCTCTGTCGCCTTGGGTAGAGAGCCATAGCGTCACAGCTCACAGCAACCTCAAACTCTTAGGTTTAAACAATCCTCTTGCCTCAGCCTCCCAAGTAGCTAGGGTTACAGGCACCTGCCACAACACCTGGTAGAGATGGGATCTCACTCTTGCTTAGGCTGGTCCGCTCCGTTTGGCCTCTCAAGTGCTGGAATTTCAGGTGTGAGCCACTATGCCTGGCCCTTTTTTTTTCTTTTGAGACAGAATCTCAAGCTGTCACCCTGGGTAGAGTGTTGTGGCGTCATAGCTCACATCAACCTTTAACTCTTGGGCTTAAGTAATTCTCTTGCCTCAGTTTTTCTATTTTAGTAGAGATGGGATCTTTTGTTCAGGCTGATCTCAAACTCGTTAGCTCAGGCAGTTCACCTACCTCAGCCTCTCAGAGTGCTAGGATTATGCTGACTGTTAATTTACTTTCTTTCTTTTTTTTTTAGGACACATTAAAATTTGCTTCAATACTTCTTTGGGGAAAAAAAATCACACTTTTAGTGAATGAACAAAAAACATTTTTACAGTAGCAGTAGGCTATTATTCTTATCCATCATGCCATGAATTCATAGGGAAGAGGTTCCAGTAGCTCGGGGAGGCACTTTGTCATTGAATGTGACAAAGTGTTGATTGACTTTTGAATTCATGGGAAATAAGTTCCAGCACCTTGTATCATCACTGTTACATGGGGTCTATTGGTTATCCTGTGTGCTGTGCTGTACACCTATTATGCCATGAGCTCATGGGGAATAAATAGGTTCTTACACCTAAAAACATGGGTCCACTGGTACTCCTGTGTGCTATGTCGTATGCTTATTATGCCATGAATTCATAGGGAGTGGGTTCTAGGAGCTCAGGCTCCTTTCTGTTGGTTCTCACAAAGTGGGCTTCTCTGGGTGGAGCAGGCTGGCGCTTCAGTTGAGCCCAGGTACCTTTCTCTTTGGCTTTCTTCTTTTTCTGATCATTTTCCTTCACACGTTTCAGGAAGCTATCTCGGCTCTTAGAGTGCTTAATAAGCTCAATATGAACATTAATCTTTTTGGCAAGAATCTTGCCAAAACTTGTTTGTTTACAATGATGCCAACAGCATGCTGGGTAACATTGTAGACTCTTCCAGTTTTGCCATGGTAACATTTGTGTGGCATGCCTTTTTGAACAGTACCCATTCCTTTGATGTCTACAATATCACCTTTCTTATAGATTTGCATATATGTGGCCAAAGGAACAACTCCATGTTTTCTAAAGACCTAGAGAACATGTATCGGTGCCTCTCCTCTTTCCCTTTGTGTTTGTCATTTTGGTGAATTACTGGAAGATGGCGTCTCTGGCCAAAAGGTTTAATTTACTTTCTTAAGTGCTTTGTTTTGGTTTTATTCCACAGGAAAGTTGAGGACCTTCAGTTCCGGGTTGAAGAAGAATCAATTACCAAAGGCGATCTTGAGGTAAAACCCCCCTCTAGCTCTCTAAAATCTTTTATGGGTACCACTATTCAGAAATGTGGGTGAAATAACGTGCCACCTGACATGTGTGGCCAGAAAATTCAGATGCGGGAATGGCAGGAACCCCAGCCTCTCTGGCCAAATTGAGTTTTGGGTGTGGCTTTACAGTGAAAATGCCAGCCCTTGAGTCTGTGACTGTAGTGTCCTGCTTCCTGTGGCGTCAAATTCTCACTATTCTTTTCTTATGCTTCAAAATTTAAAACCATGAATTGGATTTAATTAGGTCATACATATGGCAGGCCTTAATTTAAAGCAGTCCTAAGTGAGACTAGGTATGTTCCTCTGATTTGATATTTTAAAGAGCACTTTTTGTTTTATAATAGTCCCTAACAAAGCTTTTCACTTTGCTTTTCAGTTGAGCAAGATAGGTTCTTTTATAAACCTATAAAAGATGTTTATTATAGTTAATTTAAAAAAAAAATTACCAAAACAAAAAACAAGAAGCAGTTTATATTTGGCTTCTTTTTCTTCTTTGCCATATTTAGAATTTGTAGATTGTCTTTTAGTGTCAGGTTTCTCTTCTTAACATTTATTCATATTAGTGTTTTAATTAGGCACAATTGAATGTTTTCTTGGTTTCATGCCATTGCTAAATATATGACAAATGTAAATTAATATTTTTAAACTTTTCAGATATTTGGGTTTTTATAATATTTTGATAAAAATTGCACTTCTCAGTGCACTTACCCAAACATACATTTTTTTACTACCTTTATAATTTTAGAGTCTGTTGGCTGCCCAAATTGTATTTAAATTTCAGGGGCCCTTCCAAATAGGAACTCTGATTTCTCTGGAAATGAATACATCTTTACAGTCATTATAAAAAGAGTAAAGGGAACATTTTTTGATTTCTAGTTCGTAGGACCCAGAATTTAATAGTTCATTAACAATCTAATAGATACCTTCTTCGCTCATTTCATATACAGTCACATTCCTTTAGTTGACTTTGTGTTCTCATCCATTTAAAAACACCCAGAGTTTCATTACAAATTTCATATCATCATCTAATCCAAATGAAATATAGCCTATAGCCTGTGTGTTTGGGGAGGGTCAATTTAAAATATTTACATCAGCACTAGGCTGGTACAGTCTACCAGATAAACTTACTTGAAATTAATCACATGAAGGTATCTTGAAACCCTAACACATATTGAAACCTTAGTTGAGTCTCTTTTCTGTTGTTTAATTTTTTTATTTTTTTACTGATAGCAAAAGAGCCAGATTTCTGAAGATCCTGAGAATGTAAGAGGGCACTTAACTGTGTGGATATTTCTTTTCTTAACACAGATTGATTGCAGATTAAAATGCTTATTGATATACTCAAATACTAATGGCATAATCTGACCTTGGGACATGGACCTTAATATTTCTGTGCATGTGGCTTCCAAAGCAATTACATTTGTATCTTGAAGAACTTGTATGTAATGACTAAGCTATGTAAATTCATTTTGTTTAATGACTAGGCCAATGTTTGCTTTATTAAGAATTTTACCAAAAAGAAAAAAAAAGTTCTTTTGTCTGGAGGCCTGGCCTTCTTCACCTAATTCATAATGTTATTTTTATAATTCATAATGTTATTCTAATTTTATTTTTATTCCAAAAGAGTTGATAAAACATACTCGCATAAAGCTTGCTAATGCAGAGTTGTAGGAATTCTGGGGAAGTTTCTCTAATACTACTACTTACGAGAGAAAAGGCAATTGTGAGACTCCCGGTTCTGACTGGTGGCCTTTTCAGTGCACGCCTACTGCTGGTCAGTGCCCGCCAGTGCAGCTGACAAGACGCTCAAACTTCCTTTGCTGCTGCTACACAGTGTTTTCCCTAGTTTGTGAAAATAGAGGCAAACATTCTTCAGTGAAGACACCATGTATTTTACATTTATTGTTACTGAAGTGAGATTTTTCTAGTAGTACCAACATTAGGCATGTGTTTTGTTTATCTTCTTCCTTATGACGAAGATAAACTCCCAGTACAAATCTTACCGAAGTGGCCTCCAGTGCACTGCTGCTTGGTGTACTCTGCCAATTGTGATGCAAGTTGAAAAGAGCCTGAGAATTTTTTGCTTTGTTTACTACCACAAGAGAATAAAATTAAAACAAAAAATTATTTTTCTTCTTACCACCTCCTGGCAGCTGAAATAGACAACTCAAGACTGAACTTTTTAAAAGGTCTTCATTCTGAAGGGTTCCTTTTTGTGAAGCTACTTCAGTGATCTGGGTCTCTTCTCTCCTTCCAAAACAGGCTCCTGCTGCCCCCGGTGTCAGTCTGCATGGGATCTCCCTCCTGCCTCTCTTGTGCGCTTCTTGCAAAGCCTTTGCTTTCCTTCTTGGTCTCCTATCCCAGGACTTTCCTCTTGGACTACTCTGTGTCTTATTCTAAGAAAGAAATAATTTTAAAAGGAAGGTTTCCTGTTTAGTGTCACATTTTTACTATGTGCAGTGGCATGGAAGTGGATCACCATTGATCAAATGCCACTCTAGAGCCTCAGATAACTTGTGTTTATACCCATCAATCAGGAGGCAGTAGCTGTGCTCATCTGGAAGATTTCTGAATGGAGAAAAAAAATCATGTTAAATGTATATTTGCCTTTTATCTGGGAGTAGAGACCTTTTACCAAGAGGACACTTAACACAGTGTCAAGAGATGAAAGATGCCTTTTCTTAGGACTGTGGTTTGGGATTTCAGTTCTTGAGGCTGTGACCCCAATTATGTAGATATGAATTGGATCTTCTTTTGTAAAAGCAGGTAAAATTGAACAACTTTTGTCTAAGGCACATATGGACCAAGGGGACTTTCCAGACAATTAGGTTTTGAATTTTATCTGATTATTTTCAGTGTAAAGAGCTGAAACAAGTGAAGAATTTTTAAATTTTTCACCTACCTTTTAAATGGCATTTTTGGTTCATAAGCAGTGTGACCTCTTTGAATGCACTGAAGTCCCTTGAATACCACTAGAATGAGTGAAGGTGTGTATAACCTTTATTTTTACATTCCACCTTCTACTCAAGCTCTGCACTACTTTGTTTAGCTGCTGTTGTCATTTTTTCATTGCCCATATTGTCCAGACTGATAGGTCAGTTAGAAACACAAAATATTTAAATTAATACAAGTAACTAGCTACTGAGAGCCATTCCTTCAATAGGTTTTGTTATTCTCATAACTGATAACCTTTTGGATAGGAGAGGTTGGGTGGGATGAAAGGTACATTTGGATATCTAGATTATTTCAGAGTGATTAAGATTCTGCAGCACTTAAACCTCTCAGAAAGAGATTGCCCTCTGGGTTCCCCAGTTAGATTACACCTAAGGATGTGGTGATGAGTATCTGTGAGAATGCAGTGTATCTGTGAGATCTTGGAGGCTCTGACTGCATTAGGATCCCACCAGCTCTTTGCGTGAATTCAAACTCATGTCTTTGTGTTGTGTCACCATTTCTTAGCTTTCTTCCCTCTGAGGGATAAAAATAATAAGCCCCTTACCAGTTAGAGCTAAACTTTTTTTCTGCTTGAGCCCCTTAATTGATCTGCTTCAGAGATAGGGGCTGTGGAAGATAATTATTACTGAATTTTCTCTTTGTAATTGATTCCTCCCTCCTTCCCTGAGACAAATAGCCTTTGGTAAATCCACTTTTGGAGGGAAATTGAGCTTCCCATGGCTCCTGACTTGTCTGTTGCGATCATGTTGCTGAGAATCTCACAAATACCCTTTTCACCCATTTCAACAGAGGCCACTAGTGTGACTTCCTTAGCTCTAGTTTCTGGACCCCCTTTATTAGGGTTATTACCTGACCCTTTTTAATATTAAATTTTATGCTACAACATAAGGATCTGCTCTGAGGACTTATAGAACACTTTAAGATTTTTTTATTCCACGTTTAGGTGAGAGTGATAATCATTCTGAGGGTTAATTTACTTTTTGAAGCCATTGAGTCAGTTACATACACATTAATGTCAAGTAGCCATCGTGGGGAGGAGGGAAAATGATAGTTTAGAGGGATATTAACTATTCTAATTTGTGCTGATAAACTTCACTTATCAATATAACTTATATTTGGCTGCATGCATCTGATACTTTCATCTTGCTCATGTGTTTTCCATTTTTTCTTTCCAAAGAGACCAGCTCATGTCCCCTGTCCACCACCATCCTTTTGTCCATAGTGCTCATCCTCACCCCCAGCCTCCTCATCTCATTCCATCCTCTTCCCATCTCCATTACCCCATTTGTTCATCCTTTGGCGGAAGGTACTGGTGGCTCAGCCTGCATGCCGCTGTCTCTCCTCCTGTGCTGGCATGTCATGGTGGCACTGTTGTGTTCTCTTCCTCTTCCTTTTTACTAACAGACGCAGACCAAACTGGAGCATGCCCGCATTAAGGAGCTTGAACAGAGCCTGCTCTTTGAAAAGACCAAAGCTGACAAACTCCAGAGGGAGTTAGAAGACACTAGGGTAATGGTTTTCACTATTTAATGAAGCAGACCCATGCGTGTGAGTGGTGGACACTTCGGGTGATGACATACCTCATAGCTGGCCTGAGCCTTGACCCAGTGGTTCAACTGAGTTTGGTCTTGGTACTATTCAGATATTCTTAAGCTTAGACTGGTGGGTAGGTACAGGTGTTTAATATCAAATTTTATGTCAAAAGTGAAAACTCACTCCTTTGGTTAACTCAACCAAAATTGAGATCAGAAACTTTACAACTCTATAAACTAATGGATATAACAGTATTTGAAATTCTTTGTGTTAATACCTTGAAATACATTTCTCCAGTGTGCCACAGCAGTCAATTGTCCTCTTGTTCTCATTGGCATAGTTATTGGATTTTCTAAATAATCTTTTTTATTGATATTTTATTTTAGCTCTCTTTTCCTGCCTCTTCCCTGGCCTCATGGGGGAAGGAAATGGAAACATTGGCTCTTTCTAATGAGAGTTAAGGACTTTTTACCCCAGTTATCTTTTTTTCTTGATAGCTGATCTCTTTATACCTCCTACCTTTCTATTACCCAGGAGATTAAAATCTAATAATCAGAAAGGAGAAACATGTGTTGGGAACAGAATAGCTTCTTACTACCTCTAGCTTACTGTGTTTGGCCCTTGTAGTCAATACATTATTCATGTTTTAGTTTGTTTATATATTAAAGCCCCCCTATAGGCTCGGCACCTGTGGCTCAAGTGGCTAAGGCACCAGCCACGTACACCAGCCTGGCCTGCCAAGCAACAATGACAGCTGCAACCAAAAAATAGCCGGGCATTGTGGCGGGCGCCTGTGGTCCCAGCTACTTGGGAGGCTGAGGCAGGAGACTCG